GGCCAGTCGGGTTTGGTGTTGCGACGCGGCAACGCACGGTGCCGGGCGGTCTATCTTTGGATCCTACGTATATACGAGAGATGTGTACGGGATGAGTGTGCGGGAGATCTCTTACTCAATCGGCTCACGTATTCGTTCGTCGTTGCGCATCGCGCGCGCACCGTGGCCGGTGATCAGTGACACCGTTAAACGCGGCCATTATTTCGAATACGTGGCCGCGCGCGAGGTTCGGGATATATTATATTTCCGCGCGGCCACGCACACGGCCGTAGATAATGCCGGCCGGCCGGCCGGCCGGTTGGCCGATAAAAGCACTTTCGACTTTCCGCGAAACGCACTCCCAACGCGTTCCGCCATCGTCTATTCGTCGCCGCGTGAAATGCACGCTCGGTATACCCAGCGGTGCTCAATCTCTCTCTCTCTCTCTTTCTCTCTCTTTCTCATGTGTGCCACTGCGCCGAATAAAATAGCGGAACGCTTTCTTTCGCTCATGCGGAAGTTCGCGAACGAGCCAAACACACATTCGGACGAGAATATCTTCGGCAATCGTGTCAGAGTCTTGCTCTTGTCAGCGCGCGCTAATAAAGTCACACGGAACACCGTTCGAGCGAGCCGTAAAACAATCTTTGAGAAATTGATAGTAACTTAATCTGGCTGTAGACTGTAATTTTCTGAAGTTTAATCTTGTAATCACGCCTCTCTCCCCGATGTCGTTATTAGATTCTGATAATCCGCGCGAGTGAACGTTTTGATTAATGTGGCGACGCGTTATGTACGTAAGGTATGCACGGTGAGAGTTCCCGCACCTGTCTCGTAGAAACGTGACGACTGATCGAAGTGACAGTCCATTGAGATCTTTTGGCACAAACGCCGTGTTCATTCTTAAGACGCTGCCAACGCCTTCTCGTCCCGAGCATTCAATATTAATATATTTCGTAATTCATAACTCCGCGTGTCGTCTATGTGTTTTATACACGACACACGTGTTATGTATATGCGACGAAAGATCAACAAATTGTCATCGGATATTTTGTATTTTCATTATTTCGAATATATGTTTCTCATTTTCGCTCACAATTCGCATCGCAGAGCGTTTTACGCGTCCGTTCTGAGTCACTGACGTCACACATTGTAACTTTCGAGCGAGCCGCCTTGACGTCATTAAGCTGCAATTACGCATTTTTCGCGTGAATCAATAAATTGTCCTCCTACAAAACGCGACGTAGCAAAAGTTACTAGAAAAGTGACGTAATTTGCTCGATTGTCATACAATCGAGCGTTACGATTAACTCGAAAGCGCGGTCCGAACGCTGTGATTTACGTAGCGTGATTAAGGGTTAACTGACGTATTAACATGTTTTTACCGCGGCACGTAAGCGCGCAAAAGCGTCACGGTATCTTTGCGTAACGTTGTTACGGAAAAAACGCAAGAAGGGGACACACCATTACGCGGGATGTACGGAAGCTTGGAAAATTACCACCTACGTCTATTTACACCAGCGAGCAAACATCCTCCGCTATTTGCCGATTCACGGTTTAGCAACCTTCGGCGTTGTTAAAAGACTGCTCCATACACACACACACACACACACACACACACACACATATATACGCACATGCTAATCTACATACACGCGTAAATATAAATGCGATATCGTTTGAGTGATTATTACTGCGAATTGGAATTCTATCGAGCTATTAATCGCGCGAGCGATGCCGCGTACGCAGAATCCCATAGCGTAGGGGGACACATGTATATACACACAGAAGCGTCAACAGAGACTCTTCCTCCTGCTCCCCTCCGAGACTCGCACGATTTCTAGAACCACGAGAGATTAATTATGATCGCTCGCGCCACGCGTGTGCGAACAAAAATACATCAGCGAAAGAAGCAAATAGGGTTTCGTATGTGAAACCGCTAACTTTACTTGCTCGTTGCAAAAATCACAACCGGATGCAGTTATAATAAGAGAACTTCACTTAATACCTACGTGCTTGCGTATACGAGATATATATCGCGTACATCTGTCGTGCGATGTTGATCGTATAAATCATAGACGTGATGCCGCCGCTGTTTGCAATGGGGCCGCGCGCGATTCCCGGCGATGCGACGGCGGCGCGTGAGACGAGAGCGGAAAAAAAAAAGAAAAAAAGAAGAAAAAAACACCGGGATACAAACACAAAAGTCACGAAAAACCGGATACGCGCGCCGGACGCGCAGATCTGGTTCGTTTTTCCACGGGGCGGTCAGTTTCTGCGAAATGGAGCCAACACGGCGCGGTCACGCCTGAGCTGTCTAACGGAGGTAAAGAGAGAGATATTGCGTTAATGCGTTCCACGTGGGGTCACCCCACGGTAGCCAGTGCACCAACGAGTAGTACCGTATCCGCTTCGGCATAAAGCCCGCGCTCGCCGCATACCCGGCTTTACGTGCGTGCCGAGCCGGCCAGTGCCTCTCATTACGAACCTTACCGCGCCCACGTAGCGGTATCGCGACTACGCGTATTCCCTCTGGCACGCTTCACCGAGCGTAATAGTGTATGTGAAGGATAAAATTACCTGAAGGATAAAATTCTCCGTGTCAGAGAATTCTGACGTGAGCACACAACTTCGGATGTTACACTGAAAGAAAATCGTGTGTGTGTGTGTGCGTCGTGTATGTTTCTGGGGAGAGAAAAGGTTACTGGAAGGAACTATAATTAATTAATAAAATAATTCCGCTTACGCACCAGGAGAATCATCAATTTTCATAGTAATTGTCATTGCAGCTACGTGGTTATTGAATGTAAAATCACATTGCGATTTTTGCAACTTTTCTTTCAGTTTATATTTTTTCTCCCCATTGTATTTCGCGTATTCAAACTTTTATTTTGCGGCGTGGTGTTTATATCGTGTGGTTTATTTCGCGCGCGCGCACAAAACGCATGAACGATACTTGTATTGCATTTCAGAGTGCAAAAATGCGTGCGACGAGATGACACGTAATTCGAACCCGGCTCCGGGATATAAAATTGACGGATCGCGCGTATACGGATCGTGTGACGTCAACGACACGAAGAGCGTTTCCCTCTGTTAACCTACTCGTTAACCCGCCCGCTTATCGACTTTCAATTTTACCGTCTAGGGTCCGTAACGAGACGATCTCCTTCGGTTCGTAAATTTACTGCGGTTAACGCAGCGATATTGACGTTAACAATATAATAAGGCGCGTTTAATGTTACGTTTTCAACAACTGTCACGGTTGGACTCATTGTTACGGTACTACTTCAGTAAATTCATAAGTTAATTTTTTCAGCACGGTTATTTGTTTTCTCTCCTCTCTCTCTCTCTCTCTCTCTCTCTCTTTCTTTCCAACATCGAAATTTCATAAACCTTAACTCCTAGAATTTTTTATTTTTTTATAATTTAAACCGCAATATTATTCTATTATTGTATAATATTAGAGCGGATAGCGAAGCATTTGGGAGTTGGAACGAGAAGTTCGCTGCTCCGCTATCATATCTTGTCTCATCATCTCTCATCATTTGTGACAACTGTAGAAGATAAAAAGATTCTGTTCTGATTTGCAATAAAATCGATTTTTTCCAACCACACTTGCGTCTTTCTTTCAGAAACACGCTCGACATGGGATGCAACGTGTGCGCGAAGAGTGGAGCTTTCTTTCCTCTTACTATCATCTATCCCGTCAACGAGGAGAGAAAGAGAGAGAGAAAGAGAGAGAGAACACATCGCGCTCATGCGCACCGCGTAAATAGGCCAGCCACTCGATCGTCCACTTTAGGAACGAGGTCACGAAAATTAAATTTTCTGATTAACGACACACAAGTGCGCGCGCATCGAGCAGCCGCCGGCGAATACAACTCTTTCGTTTCAACAGAGTTCGCGTACCTATCTCTCAATTTTGTCGTCCAACAGCAAAACGCAACGAGGTCTGCGTTGATGGATTTTATTTTCAACTGTAGCATATATACATGTCGCTGTAAACAGCGCGATGAATTATCGTCGAATTAGAGAATTCCGCGTTAGAATTAGATCACGTTTCGATTCTGTGACTTGACGCGCGAAAAGGTTATCAATAAACGAGTGTTGTTGCTCTCCGGTTTATACGGAGAAGCCGCCGAATGCTCGCGCAATCGTCGCGCGAACCGGCTAACTAGCGTGCACGCAAGCGCACTCGGCTCACTTTTGTCTCACTACCTACGTATCTCTCTCTCTCTCTCTTTCGGTGTAAGATCACAGATGAGACGCGAGCGTCCCCGGGAAACGCCATATTTCGTACGCCCGCACGATATCACGCCTTCGAGTTAATCTTCTTTAACCTGATCGTTGACCCGTTTGAATATTTCACTAATACTCTAATCTCTCCGTGACGGAAAAGTTTTTATCTACGCGCGCGTACCGGCTCTCCGGTGCATGAGACGCCGGCATAACATTACGAACTTTTACTTTCAAATGGATTTTCTGTCTCAATACACACAAGCGCGAGAGAGTACATTTTCAACTCTCAAGGCTTATCGATATCTGAGGAAGAGCGCGTTTTCGGTTGTTTTAAAAAGAAAACCATATACGGAACTCGAAAAAATGTCAGAAACGTGTGTGCTCTTTATGTCGAGTAAACTGTACGCTTGTGAAAATTTTACAAGCTGTTCTTTTGATACGTTCAATGAAACTTGTTTTTACACGTTTCCGTGTAAAATTTACATTTAAACAAACAATTGTGTTAATCTAAAACTAAGCGTTAGATATCTTCAAACAGAACGTGAATTATCTTCGGAAGCGATTATCTTCGCAGTCACAACATTTTTTCCCCCGCAACAAAGAAGGAGCGTACGTAATTTCAGCGCAACGATAAATTTTGCCCCGTACCCGTCGCATGTGTGCGACCGCACGGCGATCTCAAGAGATCAGTTCGTAACGCACGTGCACACACACGCGCGTACGGACAACACACGCACGCACACACATTCGCACAAAATGCGGCTGCTCGTCGGCGGACTCACCTCCTGCCCGTTCGGGGCAATGACCACGTCCACTTCGTCGAGGTGCTGGCGGTGCTCCGTAACCTCCGCGTGGATCTCTCGGCCGTTGTACGTGAGATACACCTTCTGACCGGGTACCAATCGCGCGCTGGTGACGGATCCGAAGCCGGGACCGATAAGGTCACGGTCCGAGTACTCGGTGCTGGGGCTTGGCGGGCATCCGCCCGGCGCGACGTCGAAGCGCACGGAGTACAGTGTCTTCGGTGTGACGGTCTGGCCCGACGACGCGGTCTGCGGCGTCTTCACGGCGTAAATGGCACCGCCGTAATACTTCCCGTCTTCGCCGGGAGCGCACACTCTGGTGCCGATTATGCTACGCTTCGCCAGCCGCTTGCCCGTCGACATTATTCGCAATTTCTGTGGAAAAAACGCGATCGTTTTCGACCGGTGTGTGTGTGTTCGCTCTCTGTGTGTTTCACAAACGTAGAGATCTTGTTAAATCGCCACTCTCGTTCCCGCGCGCGCCTCACACTCTCAGAGATATCACACAAAATCGCGCCGTACTAACTATTTTTTCGCTACCTAACCGAGGAGTCGTCGTTACTCCCGTCGTCGCGTGGAAATTCCCGCGACCGCACTTCTCGGTAATGAAAGACACCGCGAGGCGGAATCGCAACACACAACACACTCCGGTTTTAGCCTTCACGTCTGTTTCGTCCACTCGCGCGACACTTTGTTCTGATCAGTGTTCGAAAAGAAAAAAAATAAACCAAGCGGTCGTTGCGATGTCGTCTCCGTGATGACGCGTGTTTCACGAATGCACCGAGGGAACACAGTCACCAATTCCTCTCAGTCACACTTCTCGAGGCGAGAAGCACGTGCACAAAGTTCGAAGTTTACAGCGCAATTAAACGCACACATTTGTATTGTACTCACGACGAGAGACGGACGACAATCGCGCGCGTCCCTTTATTTTTACTTCTCGTTTAAATTGAGCTTCTTCATCTGATCGTGATTGCTTCCATGAAGATTCGCTTTTGTATTGCTCCTTTTTTCTCTCGCTCTCTCTCTCTCTCTCTCTCTCACTCTCACTCACTCACTCTCTCTCTCTCTCTCTCTCTCTCTCTTCTTTTGTCTTAGGTCATCGTACCGACCGGCTTTGTAACACGCACCGATCGTACAATATACCCTGCCACCTGCGGTGGCGATTCGATTTCACCGAGGGGGAGGATTGTCGTCCGCGGGATGTCTTTCTTAGACGCTGATGGGACGCGGCGGCTTCCGCGGCCTGAACACAGAAATCAACGTATCAACAAAGCGGCGTGCACCGTCGCCCGCGTTCGTCACGCCGTCCGCATCGTCGAGGCACTTGCTTGTTGATAATTCGTGGTGATACGTGCGGCGCACGGTATTAGCTGACAGCATAATAATACAGGACTGATGCGCGTCGCGAATAGTAGACGGAAATCCGTAGCTGGAGTTGTGATACGTCGTCGTTTCGCAGCGATACGCACGGAAGTGGGACTCGCGGCAGCCGACATATAACGCACAGCTGAGCGACCGAGAAGAACTGAGATCGCAGACTTACCAAGGCGGCTTTCACTGCGCCGGCCGGCCGCTTGCCAGGGAAAAACAGCTGATAGATAACAACAAAGCCACGTGACCCGGCCTCGAGTACCGATTGGTTGTTCGCGCTGACCTACTTACTCCGATTGGTCCTCCGCCCGGCCGCAACGAGTGAAACGGGAAAAAAAGCGCAGGCTACGAGCCTAGGCAAAGAGCGCCTGCTCGACGAGACACTCCACTCCATTTCCGCCCTCTCTTGCCCCTACCACTGTTCTTCCCCGCCGGTACTAGCGCGAGCGTGCGTACTCCGGTCGGCGTTCCCGGCTCTGTTCCCGGCTCTGCCCGGCTTTTCTCTGAGCGTTTTACGTGTCGTTTGCGCTGGCCAATTCGACATTCAGATGCTTCTCGCGAACGGTTTCTGACACAATTTAAGCGACAAAAATTAATAAGTGCACGTCGCCCTTTCGGCGCGTACGTAGTCGCGACCGGCGATCAGCTGTTGACGCTTTAAACGCGTCCAGATGGTGATTTTTGCCATCAGCTGAGAGAACCACCAGTGACGAAGCGACGCCGGTCGCTTCGGCGAAGCGGCGAGTTTCGCAAGATGTTCCCTGTCGACGCTCCGCGCCAAGTTTCTAAATTTTTCGTGAAACACATTGCTGCAGGTCGCCGAGACGTCGCCTCCGATAAACGGAGTTTCCGCCCATCGAGTGTCGACATCGCGCGGCCCGCGAGCTGCGCTCTGTATCGCGCGGATCGCGGGCCATTCTCTCTCTCTCGGCTTCAGCTGTCAGTGTCGGTCGGCGGCCATTTTGCCGTCAGCTGAGCGCTTCGTGACGACACGCGACAAGTGGAAAGTCTGCACGTGCGGGACGCTTCGCGCGATTCTCTCTCGCACAACGAGAGGCGTCGTTTACATCAGCGGCAAACATTTATAAAAGCTCGCGACAACCGCATTTTACGCATTATCGTGTATTGTTTTATTGTTCGTCGCGATGCGAGACGCAATGCGCGCATTTCTCTCTCTCTCTCTCTCAATATGTCTTTATATCGCAGCCTTACATCGGCAACGGGGAGAAGTACTGTACGCGCATTCTTCTTTTCGATGGCGGCGTGCAAAACGTCGAGCTGCTGCTTTCGTCAGCAGCTAAAGGCGCCAGTGACGAAACGCGAAAGAGTGAACGGTCTACGAAAGAGAGAGAGAGAGAGAGAGCCGGACGACGACGGGTGCCGCGCCGGCACGGGGAATGCGTCTGATGCGTAGTAACGCGTTTTTCCTCAATTGACAAACGGACGGAGTGCGAGATACGTTGCCTTGATGAAAGGGGACGACTCCATGCTCGCGCGTCTGTCGAAGCGCGCAGCAGCGGAGTCGCCTCGAGGACGCGCGGGGTTCGTTAATTGCCGAATGGGTTTAACGCAAGACGCTTTGTCTCGCATCGGTTAATCGATTGCTGCCTGATAGATACTCGCGAAGGTAAAAGAAAAAAAAAAAACACCAACGCTGGCTGCGTTCCGATAGGTACTTATGGCGGAGGACAAACGATGAAATGGCCGGATGATAGCTAGAGGGGAGGAGGGGGCGAAGAGAAGGGGGAGAGATCGGCGGAGGAGGACCGGGGAAATAGAAGGCAACGGTCCACGCGCCGCCGCGTTCTCAGCAGCCTATCCTAGATTTATTTCCGTGGACATTGCGCAATGTACGCGCTTCGCTCTGTGTAAGTAAGCTCTCGGCGGTAACCACGCCGGTTCCAAGTGCGAGAAAAACCGGTCGGGAAGAAAGGCGCAATAAACGTCGCGTTATTCGCCGAATTTTACATTCGAAATTTATTATCTCTTATTTCGCTCGCGCGTTAATTCCGCGTTAGATGTATTGTCTTACTGTTGATCGACTTTAAATAATATAATAATTTGGATTCATTGTCGTTTCTGATGCCACGACAATTCGTTGACCTCATTACGTTACAATAATAAAAATATTTCGAAGCTAATTGCATTAAAAATGCCTGAAATAAAGAAAAATACTGTTAGCATGTATTTGAGAATATAACAGAGAGAAGCGTGCGAGTTATTATTGCTTCCACTTATAATCCAATTAGTGATTAATTTGTCAAAGATATGTTTCTTGAATTATGACTTTTTCCCGATACGCGCGTGTAGCTAAAAAATGTGTCATTAATATATAATTATATATTACGCGCTGTTCAAAAATAACTGTCTCTGTAATTATATCTAAGAATGAAAGACCTGATAAGAAGACCGAAACGCGGATGTTGACGCGCGATGCATAACAAAGATTTATTTATCTACGTAAGTTAAATGACAATCAATTCGGACCCTCCTAACTTGGATCGTCTTCGATGCTTCGCGACGCAAAACCAGTGATGACATTGACAAACAGTTTCGCAAATTTATCATTAGATTTGGTTATTACGCGTTAGCGTATGAATTAGAGGTAAACAGTTTGCTGACGAGACGCGCAAAACCCCCACGCTTTAGATTTCTGATAGTTACCGACCACGCGTATATGCAATTCTGTTTTTACGTACAGTGAAACAACAGAAATTCACAGAATAGGTGCGAGAACAAGGACAAAAAGGATGGCTTTTCCTACAGCTGTTAGTAACGCCAACGAGCGTCTTACCGACTAACTGTAACAATCGCTTGTTTAAAACGATGCATCGCGTCGATAATGTTACTATTCACATTTTTGCTTGCTATTTTTTCTTGTCAAAACTGGATAATAGTTTCGATTAATCGGTAAAGTCGACTGGAAGAGAAGCCGCTCTCTTTGTCTTCAAATCCTCGTAATTAATATATACAAACTTTTCCGTTGTTCGCTGTATCATTGCCACTTGTCAACGATATTATTAGAAGTCACATTGTTCATAATATCAATCTATATAATCTTGAAACTCTTTTTTGAAAAATATATCTGTGATATCGAGAAAGATACCTTTATTATCTTCATTATTGCTCGTCTTCTTGAATTTTGTTAAATAACAATTAAGTGAGTTAATTAAAATACAATTGTTCTCACGTGTTTATATATTTCTGTACATTTTTAGAAAACGTGAATTTCAAAGATAAATTACTTTTTATGTTAACGTCATTAAAGTATGCGTAATGAGAAAACAAAAATAAATATTCTCCTTACATTTAAATAATCTAATCTTTACATTTACATAAAATCAGTCAATTTTATTTACGGAAAGTTTCGCAAGAATTATTAGAAAGCTTTTCATTTTGAAAAGATTTGTACGTATCTCTCAAGTGTATAATTAAAATCACTGCATTGTTTATTTGCACAATGCTGTTCGTAAATATTAGATTATATGAATTTACATATCGCGGTCATCGCTTTCGATAAGAAAAGTTTTGTGAAAAAAAGTTTCTATTAAGATTTTTTTACATCAGACTTTACGTATACATATTATTTCTTATATAAGTTTAATAATTTGTTTTGCTTTTTATATAAGTTTGAATAATTGTTCATATAACTTCGCAGGTTTTACAGAAATAATGTTTCTAATATTTATATATACAACAGGATCATTTGAACAGAGAGGAAAACAGATCTGTTTTGACAAGAGTCTCTCGACTACTATAAATATGAGATTTATAGAAGAAACGTACATAATAAGTATCTAACATATATGTATACATAAGCAATGACTAATTGTATGATACGTCTCGATATACACACTGCTTCGTCATATGCGTTTGTACGTATATGTCGGTAAGATAAGATTACGTCCTGGCACACGGCAGTTGTGAAGCGTGCATTGTGAAGACGAGACGATGTGTATCAAACGCGAAATCATTACATAGGCACCGATATAATGCTCTATAAATCTATCAAATATTTATTTTTTTTCACGTATATAATTCATGCGGTTTTATCATGACACGCAAGATCGCCGCATCCTTGTTCATTGTTCTTACTTTTGATTTAATTTTAAATGGCGTTGCGCATTCCAAATGTTCATCTTTGTGCGTGTGTGATATTTGGTACGGATTGCAATATGCTTCTTGCACCGGGCGCCATCTTTACAGTGTTCATACCGGTGCTCCGAACACAATACAAGCTTTAGATTTGTCGAATAACTCGATATCGAATTTGAACAGTTACGAACTGGCAGTGAGTATATATAATATTTATACATATACATACGTATAAAAATCCTATACGTATTTTATATCCGATGATCCACTACTGTCATCAGATATCTGTGACAAGTATTGTGTGTGGTTGTAGACAATAATAAAGAAATCATATTTCAGGAAGCAGGATTAGTGAATCTTAAATACCTCAACCTTTCCATGAATGCGATTAGCCAAGTTGATCTGAAAGCTTTCGATGGATTATCTGAGTTGAAGGTTCTCGATTTATCGCAAAATCATCTTTACTACCTCTTGTCGGACACTTTTTTATCAGCGACTAGTTTGCGAATTCTCCGACTGTCGAAAAACAATTTTAATTCTCACGTACCGAAGTTGGAACGTTCCTGGCTGACGGTAATATATAGAAAACATTAATTAACATCAGACACCGTATGGACAGAGAAAGATCGCTTCATTAACTCTGAAATACCATTTTTTTCTTAGGATTTGTTTTTAGACTCTTGCCAAATTAGTCATGTGCCCGTAGATACGTTTGTCGGACTCTCGCATCTTCGTTACCTTGATCTTTCGAAAAATTTGTTGATACAATTGGATACTGCAATCTTCGACAAATTGCAATTTTTAGGACAATTATCAATAGAGAAGTAAGTCGGACAAAGTTTTAAGTGTTTTTGTATTTTATATATATATATGTGTAAGTTTTTTAAAACAATTTTTAGGCATTTTTTAAAAAGCGTGTATAAAGTTTTTTTTCACAAACTCGTTCGTATTATAAGAATATTATACACATATATTCCCAAACACATTCACATAAATTAAACTTAATTTTTAATGGCACATATATTTATTACTACTAGTTTTATATAATATTTTCACATAAAAGATATATCTTGCTTTTTAGAAATCCCTGGCCGTGTGACAGTCTCACACACAAATTAGAGTTGTATCTCAATTATAGAAAGATACAGTATCAAGCAATATGCAAAAGAGATTCGGAACCGAAAAAGTTTGAAAAAATAATTGCCTACAATCCACAGATAAAGTCCGAAAAGTACCAGCCTTTTGTAACTTTTTTCAAGAAAAAACAAGACTCGAACAAGAAAACTATGCTAACAACAAAAAAAACTATTTTATCCACAAGGGCACAAAATACAACCGCATGTATCAATGCGCCGGTCAGTACGAGTTTCACGAAAGTATTTAATGCCATGTCGGCGTATTGGTTCTTTGCGATTGGATTTTTAACCGGTAGTGCGTGCGGCATGTTGGCGTGTTACATTTGGCTTACAAGAAAGATAACTTGTTGCCGCGGATATCGCAACCGACAAACAAATGATACTCAGAGAATTTCGTTATTGGAAGATTCATACCAATTTGAAGAGTCCGTTTGCGATGAAAGAATTTCTTGTCCCGACACTCCACCTCCACCGTATCGTGAAGTTATGCTGCGACCAGGACTTTATCGTCAAACATCTGCCATGAATTAAAATATATACGATAATCATATTACAAACAATAAAAAATATGTTTAAAATATTATGACATCTTTTCGCATTTATTATTCTTGAAAGAATGCTTTTTACATACATACATACTTACGAAGCACGAGTCCGTGAGTAAATTTAATTTTTTTGTCAAAAATTTACAATTACGTTTAAATTATTTGTTTGAGTTTAATAAATGAAGTTTGAGTAAAGAATAGTTTTATTTATATATATACTAATATTTTATTTATATACACTTTTATGTTTGAACACATGATATTATGTACGTGATATAATTTTGCTTAGATTTTTAATGGCGTCATCATTTTATGCATATTACAAGTTTTTTAATATAATTTATATATTGTTGCAGAATACATTTTGTGTCGACACCAAACTCTCGATCAAACTGTTATTTTTTATTACCGAGTATTCGATACAAAACGCATTTCGCAATATATACATAAAAATGAATTACTTTTACCATGAAGATTGTCTTTGATCTAATATTTATATAACAGAAAAAAAACACACATATATATATATATATATATATAATTTTATCAACATCTTTCAAACTTTGTAAAGTTGTCAACAAAATTTATCAGACTATATTGACGACATGTTTGGTTATTGTAGCGTAGCTTCATCACATCTCACATTGTTTTCATCTACGGTTTGTGTATTTATCACAGTTTTGCCACCAATTGTGGCAATTATATTTTCCATTACTTCGTGATTGTATTTCGTACCACGAAGATTACTGATCACACATGCATCCTGGCCAAAGTTAGTTAATCCGACAGGTAGACTCATTTTGATTTCCTCCACGATGCCGTTCTGCACTTCCAAACTCAAGTTCAAACGATGCGTCTTACCGTCATGAGTAGAGACATCGACTGTACGAGAAACGGTGAACTTCGGCGTCTTGCCGAAATTCCAATCCCAAGAACGAAATTCGTTGGAGAACTCGTCAATTCCTGTAATTTGCGCAAATATTCTAAAGAAGGAAAGAGACAGTTCTATCTATATACATAAAAATAATTACAATATTATATATATGTATATATAAATTTTGTATAAAATTTAAATATATATATGTAAAATTCTATGAGATTACGTATAAAATATTTTATATTTGTGAAATAAAAGACAGGTTTTTAAATGTACCAGGGAACCAATCTTCAGTTGGATTAATAAATTTAAATCCTTTTTGTTGTTCAACCAGGCCGTAATTTCCGTCTTCAAGAACGAGAGCTTTCGTTCGCAGATATTCCCAGCCAATAGCTGATAAAAGTTTATCCACTTGGATATCTCTGTTTACGTCATACAAGTTTTTTATTGGAGAACGTACAGACGCTGTCGCATTCGTAATGATGTCATTCTGAAATGTGCGTGCAAATCGTTATTTCTCTTTCTTTGTATTTACACGTAAGTTAGTATGCAATAAATTTCAATAATAACATAAATTAAATATTTTGACAGTTGCAAATCATTATCGCGTTGTGAAAATGTTATAACTCACTCGCAATATTTAATGAAAGAAAGACTAATACACACGCTATATCGAAAAAGATCTTACCTCTTTTCTTTCAAGAGCTAAACTCAGATTGATTTTGTTTACGTTAACCAAAAGTGTACAATGATGATACGCATTTGGTCGCCCCAATTTTGCAGCTGTTCCGGATATCTAAATCATAACAGTTAAACAACTAAAGACAATGTTATTTTTTTATATAATCATCTAAAAGCTATGATTTCAGTACAAGGATACTATTTGACCTCGTCAGAATAAATGATAACACTCTGATAAATTGTTTATAGTTTACATGTGAACAGAGAAATTGCCTAAAGATACATTTTATAAATTGATATATAAATGAATTGTATATAAATATATACTATATATTACTTTGCAGTCTCCATTGACTACAATGTCTTCACGTTCGTTGATCGTACTCTCCAACCCCCATTGTCGAAACAAGGCGTTTGTGATGATGTTTAGATTGTATTTCCGGTTGTATCTCTCTTTTGGAGTGAAAAACGTCAGATTAAGATTACCTTTATCATGATAGACAGTACCGCCACCACTGTTTCGGCGCGCCAAGGCAATGCCTCTCTTCTCAGCTGTCTGAATGTTACACTCTAGCCACGGGTTCTGATGACGACCGAATACTACACAGGGATCATTTTTCCAGAGAAGCAACACGTGGTGCTTGGAGAAGTCAAAGTTGCGATACAGCCAGTGCTCCAGAGCCAGATTAACAAATATATTCGTGGACTGCGATATGAACACCGACTTCTCGATGTCATTGGCGGTGTAACTTGACGCATATCTGTTTGCGGTCAACCAAACACTGTCCAGAGATGTGCAGCGCCTGATGGTAGCGCTCAGTTTGGCAGACAGAGACATTGCGTGGATCATAGAAAAGCGGTATTCCTCAGTTGAGAAGCAATTTATTCGCCGCCGATTACCTGAGGTTACCGTAATGTCAACTTTGTTTTTTTTATATCAGTCTTTGTGAACACAAGACACGAGGTTTTCTTCTATCAATACCTCGTGACGAGATCAGCCTCGGAGTTGATTCCTCTTGATGATCGACCAGAGGTTGACTCCTAATGACAGAAATAGTTCGGAGCGTTGGTCTCGTTAGCGGTTACGGAAATCAGGTAATCGTGCAGGGCGATGGTCTGATGCAACCACTTCCAGGTCTGATCCAGGGAATTAATGCGGTATCGAATACCCATACAATCTCGACAGTCTTTTTGCATTCCTCTGTGTGCTGACAGGTCAATCTCAAGAATCAAATTCACCCGCGATCGGAAGAGGATTTCTTGAACTAACAAATCACCGTTTAGATTATGCACGGAATAAGTTTCCGTCGGCTACGTAGTTGCCTGCTAATGATGTTGGTGACAACGCGCAAACTCTTCTGCCGCAGTACAGTACGAATTATCAAGGTTTGTCCACGCGCGAATATAGAATAAAGCCGAGTCTTCGAGTTCGGAGTTTTATATAAGCGCTTTCTCCGCTTTCGCGATGCAAAGGCGAAGAAGGGGTCTCTCGGAAGAGGTTATCTGAGTTCGAGCACAAAGTACAAGCTGACAAGCGCGTGATACACTCACGATGTCGCTCTCCTTGTTGCTCCTCTCGTCTCTGCGTGCGACCGAATTTTGATTCAAACGCGTAAACATCACGATAACAGGCCCCCCCGTCGCCGGGGGAACTCAAATTGCACATTATCGCTAAAGCGTATACTTGTTTGCCGCGTTACATCCAACACGATCGGACAGCAATGATGGCAATACGTGGCGTGGTCGTGCACAACCACGTATCACATAAGCGCACGAGAAATTGCAAACCATTTTTCTCAAAAATTAATTTTTTTAAATATATAAGGCTATACGAGCAATTATACTGGGTGTTTGTGTATTTTTTAGTAAATATTACTTTATTCTTCTAAATATTGATCAGACGTTTCGATCTGTGATTCAGATCTTCTTCAGTGATTGTCTAATATTAAGGAGAAAGCAAGCATCACAACACTACCTATATCACTTGTACTTTTTTTTTTTTTCTATGAATCTTTATTCACTTTGAAATTTAGACAATACATTGAAACAAATTGTTCGCTCAAATAATTCAAATTGTTTGATCAGTCGAATTACATTCGACCAATTCGTAAAATTCGAAGATGGGTATAATATTGTAAAAAATCAAAAACAGTCCGTTTTATTTCCTCCCCATTTCTATACATAATATAATTTAATACATAAAATAATTACATAAAAAATTTAAAATTTATATTTAATAATTATATTTAGTAATATATAATTTGCGTTCTTGTCAAACAGATGTCAAAAAAACAAGTTTAAATACCAGCTGAAAGATTTTGCAAATTATGTTATCAGAACAATATATCGTTGGAGAATCTAATTTGAATAGATTAGGTAATTCGAACGTGATTTCCAAGTGCTTGAAATCGTGTATACTATTTTAATATTTATATATTTTTATTTACTCGCTTATCCCGAAGTGCGGAATAATTTCTCTCTCTCTCTCTCTCTTTCTCTCTCGATTTGCAGTACAAATTGTATATTTAAGAGAAAAAGACTGAAAATCGAGTAAAATATCAAACAATTTTGATATAGTTTCTCATAAATATGTCAGAGACATTTTCTTTTAATTTTATTTATAAGTATGTTCGTAGTAGTGAAGTATATGACACTACGCGTACTATCCATTTTGATATCATTCGTACAAAATACAATATTCACGTGTCAATTATTATCACGTATTGTAAGAAGAGTAAGAAGAAGCACTTGAGGTCTGATAACAGAACTCTTCATAATTTTTCCCCTCGTTTTCTTCCAAAATGTCGTGCTTACACACGCTTCGATAAGAGAAATCTAATTTTACATAATAGATCTCACATATGTAACATTTTGATTACAACACTTAACAAATATAAGATAACAGACGTCTGAGACAAGGACACAGTTCCATGTGTGCAGTATTCGTGTAAAAAAAAATAGACTTGTCAGTAATTGATTTTTTAAATATTAGATAACATATTGCGCAATTGAGCTATAATTTGCAAAATTGCATAAAAAATTATAGAGAAAATAGTAAAAAATAAAATATATAGATAAAAGGAGGAAAACTACAAACTGTGATATATATATGTAAAAATGTAAATGCACAAACTATTTTATAACAACTAATAACAAATAGACAATAATATATAAGTTAATGTAACAATAGTTATATAATAATAAGAGTTAAGTTAAAATGTTTCGCATTTCTTCGAACATCACATTGAGCATGGCAATTTGACAGCTGTGATTTACCTAGCTATTTAAATTCGTTACTTTGTATCTTTTCATCGTGCGGACACTTCTCTTATTTAAATTATGATGTTTAAACTTCGTCTACGTCTAGCAAGACAGAAATCACAAATGTGCACACAAAATAAAACTCACCAGACTGAACCAATACCACCACTACTACTTGCACCCAGTGATATTTTATCTCGCATGTTTGTAATGTAGACGAGGCTTTATTCCTTCCTCCATGATGGTCTCACCTATCTCATTGCTGATTTGACGGATGTGACACAATTTGATATCGAGATCGGGTGATGTCGGATAGTTAGCTTTAGTTCAGCTTGCACGGAGGAAGATTTTGCTCGTGTTTTATCGAACAAAGTTTGAGATTACATATATATTTAGGTTGCGAACTGTGTGCGAGAGAACACAAGTTGGTCAAAAAGTATGACGAAGATACAGTATCCCCAGGCCCGCAGGGATGAAAGCGTTGTGGATAATTATCATGGTGTTGAGGTTAGAACACTCTTATTTCGAAGAATTTACGAACAAGTTTACAGACAAATTGTACAATATGTTTAGATAATAATTGCAGTACGTGAGGAAATATTGAAAATTAAATTACATAAAAAACAATTTAAAAAGAATTATATTGTAAATATTTATGTTATTGCAAATACGTGTTATTTAAAAAAAATATATACACACTTGTATTATACAGCAGATATGGAGATGTGTTTTATTTTTAGATAGCAGATCCTTATAGATGGCTGGAAGATCCAGATTCACCAGAAACAAAAGCTTTCATTGATGCTCAAAATGCTATTACTAGACCATATTTAGCTGCTTGCAAAGCGTATGATAGTATTCATGAAAGATTAAAACAATTATGGGATTTTCCAAAATTCACATGCCCTGCCAAACACGGTGAAAAATATTATTTCTATAAGAATACTGGTTTACAAAACCAAAGGTACAATGTTCAATATATAAATACATATGAATATACAAGAGTGAATATATAAGAATATGATAAGAGAGAATATGCATAAGAATATTTGAATATGGATATATACAAGAAATATTTTCAAAAAATAAATGTTTTTACAGTGTTTTATATGTACAAGATACTCTTGAAAGTGAACCGCGAGTATTTCTTGATCCTAATACATTTTCTGAGGATGGAACTGTGGCAATTAATAATAGTAGTTTTAGTGAAGATGGTAGCATTTTTGCATACGGATTATCTAAAAGTGGTTCTGATTGGAGTACAATCCATTTTCTAAATGCAAAAACTGGTAAAAGAATTGATTTTCAAGCTTTTATGCAGATCTTTTATGTGTGTACAAACACACAATGATGTTTATAAAATAATATTTTTAAACACACGTTACTGATTTTTAAAGGGGAAAAATATCTAGACATTTTGGAGAAAGTAAAATTTTCATCAATTACATGGACTCACGACAATCGTGGCATTTTTTATGGACAGTACCGAGATCAACAAGGAAAAACTGATGGTTCAGAAACGTCAAGCAATCGAAATCACAAATTGTGTTATCACGTTGTTGGCACATCGCAAGCAGATGATGTTGTCGCAGTTGAGTTTCCGGAGGAACCATTATTGAGGATGTGAGTTCAATAATTTCAATTTTTAGATACATATAATTAATATATATATTTTTGCTTCATATATCAGAGGAGCACATGTGTCTGATTGTGGCAATTGGCTTATTGTTACTGCCCGAAAGGATTGCAGAGACAATTTAATATATTTTGCGCCATTAAAAGCTGGCGTTCCTATAAGCAACAACTTACCATTGACACAAATTGTTGATAAACTTGAAGCTGATTATGACGTTAGTAAGAAATCTCTCTCTAATATTCTTCTTAAAATTTCTATATACTTTATATCATTGCTATCTTATATGTTTTCAGTATGTAACTAACATTGATAATAAAGCTGTGTTTCGCACAAATAAAAATGCACCTAACTACAAGTTGATAGCTGTAGATTTGTTAGATTATGGGCAAGAAAAATGGGTAGATCTTTTACCAGAACATTCTGACAATGTGCTAGATTGGGTTGATGCTGTGGATGGAAATAAATTTATTGCTTGTTACATACAAGATGTTAAGGTAAAAATATATATAAACCGAGTTGAATAATAGTTGCAACAACATTGACAATCTAACATATTTCTTACAGAATGTTTTGCAACTGCATTGTTTGAACACTGGTAAGGTACTACGAACATTCCCTCTTGATCTTGGTACTATTATTGGTTTCACCGGCAAAAAGAAATACTCTGAAATATTTTATCAGTTTTCATCATTCCTAACGCCTGGCATTATATACACGATTGACTTGCAAAAAGATCAAGAGCCACGAGTTAGTATACATCTTTTTAATAATAATTACAGATATGGTTGTGTATTCACAGCGACATAACGTTGTCTTTAGTAAATATAAATTAGAAATCAGAAATTCTTCAATAATTAATATTATTGTTTCAGATATGGCGAGAAATTAAAGTGAAGAACTTTGACGCGAGTTTATACAAGACTAGTCAAGTATTTTATCCAAGCAAAGATGGTACAAAGATTCCCATGTTTATAGTAACAAAGAAGGTATATTTTATTTGAGTTTAAATCTTTATTGAAGATTTATAAATATCTTTTGAAATTTTTAAAAGTGTTTTTCTAAATCGCTGTTTTTTTTTATTGATGTAAAAGAAAAGAAATCAGAAGAAATTTTTTCTTAGGATGCCATATTGGACGGAAGTATGCCAGCCTTACTTTATGGATACGGCGGTTTCAACGCTAGTATCCAGCCAACATTTAGCGTTACAAGACTTGTCTTTATACAGCATTTAAATGGAGTGCTTGCTATCCCTAATGTTCGTGGAGGAGGGTATGTTGTGACAAAAAAGTAGAAAGCGAAGAAACTGTTTAAAAAGTTTTATATGTACATGTATAAAAAATGATCTTTTTTGCAGCGAATATGGTGAAAGATGGCACAATGCGGGACGTTTTTTCAACAAGCAAAATGTATTCGATGATTTTCAATATGCAGCAAAATATCTTATTGACAATAAGTACACTACTTCGGCAAAACTAACAATTGAAGGTGCTAGTAACGGTGGTTTGGCTGTTGCTGCTTGTATAAATCAAAGACCAGATTTGTTCGGCGCAGCTATACCTATAGTTGGGTTAGTTAACATATGTTAACATATGTTTATATTATAGAAGTTTTTTTTAACTATGTGACATCAAAAAAATACATTAATTTCTTTATTGGCAAGTGATAAAATTGCAAGTAAAAGTTTTTAAAAATCTATTACAGAGTCATGGATATGCTCCGTTTTCATAAATTCACCATTGGTTCTGCTTGGGTTTCGGATTATGGCAGTTCAGATGATTCTAAACATTTCCAGAATTTGTTGAAGTACTCTCCTTTGCATAACGTGCGAGTACCGCCTGATGACATACAATATCCGGCAACATTGCTTCTGACTGCTGATCATGATGATCGCGTCGTACCTTTACATACTCTTAAATTAACGGCGACTCTTCAGTATACGCTTGGAAACTTACCGAAACAGACAAATCCTTTACTTGCAAAAATAGATACTAAGGCGGGCCATGGAGGTGGAAAACCAACTATGAAAATAGTAAGTATTTCGTAAAGTATTTCACTTAAAACAATTTCATATATATACAGGGTGTCCCATAATGACCGTCTCACCGCTCGTAGGCAAAAAGAAGGAGTTATTCTAAGACGAAAAGTCCTATACCACTTTGAAAGATTCGCAATAATTGACGAGATATGAATTAATAAGCCTGTATATATATATGCTATTTTGAAAAGTATCAAACATAAAACATTTTATTTTACAGATTGAAGAAAATACTGACATTTTAGCATTTATTGTGCAATCCTTGGGTTTGGAATTTAAAGTGTAATTATAATGCTTTTGAAGTAATTATAACATTTTACACTTTAAATCTTTGAAAATATCAAAAACTTGTAATGTGATATGTTTTTGAATCTATTATGCGATTGCTGTATGTTGCAATGAGTTAATGCGAATTCTTCTAATGTGTTTTGAGTGCAAATTTTTTCAGGTGTTAGAAATGATGCAAACACTGTAAACTTGATAATGTCTTTATAGTCAAATATAAATGGAAACATTTATACCTTATATAGTGCTTCTTTCATTCATAGGTCACATGATCAGTAATATTATAAATATATATATTATCGATCATGTAAAGAGTCGATAGAGAATATTTTTCTTACATCGTTTATTCAAATTTCAACTTTAGATTTATTATTTCGTCAATCAAAACCTTTAGTAAATATTGATTCAAAAAATTGCAAGAAAAACTTTCCTATGTATTGTTCTTCCTTGATCGGCCAAAAGCCTTCTAAGAAACCAATATGTCCGCCACGCGACGTCACCACTGCGGCAACTGTTTTACTCTTCCTTATTTCATTTAGAGGTATGGCTGAAAATTAATGTTTATGTGTGTATATAAGAAAACATTGAGACAAGTTAATTACAGTTATTTACATACATATATGTAATAAACAATCTCATGTCATAATATTCACCTTGCAACGGTTGAAAAGGATCATCTGCAGCACTGAGACACAACGTCGGAACTTCGATAAGATGCAACTTGTCGTGAAGCGTCGCATCGCGATAATATTCATCGACATTTTTGTATCCAAAATGTTTTGCCGTGAAGTGCGAGTCAAATTCTCTTATTGTTTGGCTCTGTTCAACACGACATGACAAACGTGTTAATGAAATTGATTTTTTAAACTTTTAGATGCTCGTTCAACAAATTATATTCGAAATTATTTAATCTATTTTCTCACGCACATACTCGTATTTTTTAAAGGAAACATACTTTAAGAAGTACATCGATGTCTATGTTGAAATGGCCAATATCGGTAGTATGTTGCTGTATCTTGCGACGCAGATTACTAGCTAGATGCTTATTTAACATTAGATTAAAATAATTTTCTTCGGTGCTCTTTGTCGCAGCAAACACATTCCACGGTACGGAGATAATAAGGCACGCTTTTAACTTGGTTTTTGCTGTCGGTCCTTGTTGTGCTAAGTAGTTTCCTAAGATTAGCCTATAAACAATATGTGCACAACGTTTTGCGAAAGCTTTGTATTATACAATTTTTACAAGAATTTAATTTACAATTAGAAAGTTCATCATTACCCTCCCAACGAAATTCCGGTTGCTCCAAGTGGAATGTGAGAGTGAAGTTTCCTTACGTGTTCTATAACTTCAGTTAGATCATCACAGTTTGAGGCACAGTACGTTCGTGGAGTCTAAAAAAAAAAAAAAAAAAAAAAAAGAATTTCTTATTATAAAATTATCATCTTATAATATTAGAGAATTTATTTATGAGTTATGTATTTAAGACTTCTCAGTTGTTGGGTTACAGTTATTATTAAACGACATAAATTAAATTACAACGAGCACTTAAGAGTCCTGATTGATTCACTACGTTTGCTCTATTAGAACATTTCAATGACAATCTCTCTCCGATTTCACAAGTAAAGCATACCTTGAGTTTTATGCCACCTAATCCTCTATTGTTGAAAATTACACATCGCATTCCAATTTTTCTTGCGGCTGATACCAAACACTTGATATATTCCGCTTGACTACCGCCCGTAAGACCAGGTAAAATGATAACAATCGGTGAAGTGGCAGAGCAATCTTTTTCGGCCCAATCCAAGGCTACCTCACCTCCATCGGATAGAGTAAGAATTTCCCTACGTAATAATAATAACAATATTAGACAACAGAGTAAATATTCTGATTTCCGAAGCTTGATTATGTTATCCACGTCATTTATTTCGTGAACATGATGATTTATGTGATTTTTTTTAACGCGCCTTCGGTCCTCTTTCGAACTTTCTTGATACACTTTTGGTGAGATTATATTTTCGTACATTGATCTGTGTGTATCTTGGCCGGTAACTTTAAGATTTTTCTTTCTTCATCTTCTTTAAAAAGAGATAAATTAGTCGTAGAGGAAAGCGTCAGTCTTGTATTTTAATCAAATTTTAAATATTCATCGGAGGTGAAGATTGTTTCAACTTTATCAAGTGGTCTCTTTTCATTACACAATCTATATTCATAAATAACTTTTGTCATTTTGTTGTTTTAGAATTAGTTATAGATAAAGTGAGTACTTAGTTTTGTTACCTGTTACACGTATTAATATTAATCATTCGTCTCAATCTGCAAAACCATTAACATAGAATAAATGGTTTGTCTAGGATAATATATGCGTTTTTTTTTTGCGCTCAATACGTAAAGAAATAAATTAATAAATTATTTTTGCTTTTATATAATTTTTTCATTATGTTAAACGTTATGATAAAACATATTGTCGTAGCGTCTGTCTCTATTGTCACGTAAAGTATTTTTTTTATGTCAAGAAATATTCTCCTTTCAATTTGCAATTTCAAAAACAACGTTTGCTCAATAATAAAATTTCCTTTTGACGATCTTTTAAATTGTTTTTAACACGAAATGAGGAATATGGGATCAATGATGTAGAACACGCGCGTAGAACAACTTTGGCTTAAACGCAATAATCGTTAATAAGATCTCTCGTTACTGACGGGTGACGATTCATTTGCTACAACGAACAGTCACGGCAAGGGAATGACTGATGGACGTTACTTTCAGAAATTGGTCGAAAATTGCAACTAGAATGTAGATCAATCCAAATATATAAATCGTGTAAATGTTAAAGAAATATTTTAAAGATATTGCTAAATATTTTTAAAGATAATGTACACAATATAATGTGTGTATAAATTATAGCGGAAAAATGTTAATTCAATTTCGCAAACGTGAAAAATTCAGATTTTCGCATTTATTCGTGCAGTCACACACAATTTTATTAATATTTTTTGCATCACACACAAAATCTAATCTAAAAAATGAATAATTTTTGCAATACATCCCGCAATGGTTCACAATAGCCGATTGACTCTACGTATAAAATCTAATCTATTTATTATCTAAACTATTTATACGTAACAGATGAGAGAGAGAGAGAGAGAGAGAAATATAATATTATTAATGTATTTAATAATGGATATAAAATAGGAGCAAAATGAAAATATCCTGAAGATTATTTAGTATTATAATATCGAAAGCCATAAGTTTTAAGATAAATTATTAGTAGACGGCTTTGACAATCAAAATATATTTATACCTTTTGTTTATATTATTTTCTTTAACTTTTCTACTGACCTGCGATATTCCACAAGTGGCCATATCCGGGATCTCAAGATGCTGGCCATAATTGTCTGTGCTCGTGATTCGAAGCACCACAGTGTCGGCCAGAATTTATTTCGCAAGAGCGGAATATTTGCTTCCAAAAAGAAGCGGAACGGTCCATCGGCGCAAACAAGCAAGGGAGTCTGAAATAGCATTTTTTACTTACGCGTGATGATACATAATGTTTAACGCTTCCAAATACTTGTTCTTTAAATCACGTTTTTCTTTTTTGTTCTGCTTATTGGCAAAGCGCACGTGCATTTTGTAACCTCTTTGATGAGACGGCGATATATTTGTAATCTTGTTAATATTAACATATTTATTCTAAAACATTGATTTTTTTTCTTAACATTCCGACACTATTTGAGATATTCATTTCTCACTTTTGTATCTAAAGAATTATTCCCGTTAAAATAAGCTAAAGCAAAATAATACGTTTATCAGACTCGTATAGTTCCGCATATGGGTGATTCTCTGTGAGCGCGTAAATTTCAACTTTCAGTTTTGATAAAAAATAATTATTATTAACTAACGGATAGGGGTGAATTATGTTTTTTCATACCATTTTAAGTCACCATTCGTAATATGAATACGTGACTATGCAATATAAAAAACTTATCTATGTTTTTTATGTCAATATACCACGGAGATTACAGTCCACGGAGATTACGTTTTTTGAGAATTACCCATATAAAAAACTTTTTACGTGTAAAACCTATATTGGAACACATCTCGTTTACACTGCCGTGAAAAGGTGTGTTATGACACGCAACAGGTTGTAGCTTCAACGAGAATCAACTCTATATTTCTTAATTCAGCGAATATAAGTATCTACTGTAACAATTTTCATATATAAGCACGGACGGATTCATCCGATGCTAATAAAACCGACTTCTTTACAGGTAGAGACTCTCAATTGCTAAACAGTCTGATCCAGGAAAACGTCGTGCTTAATATATTATTGATGTGTGTTTTTTTAACTTCTTCCAAGTTGATAATAAATTTAACAATGAATTGAAAATTGTTTTCATGATTATACGTACGCTTTTTGTATACAACACATGACGGCATATGTATTCTATGTACTTACGTACGTAGCTAGTTCACTTACAAGCTCTATTATCCTGTCGCGTAACACATGTGATGTGTGTTAGTTTTTTCTAAAAATACTTCCTCAGTTGACGCAACTTATCTGTGACATATGTACTACATTATCATTAATTCACTCCCGATTACTCGATTTTCTATCAACACAACTAAATTACATAGCGCTTCTCTTACTAGATTCACTACGCGATAGTAATCGATTGTCGGTCACGAGACGGTCGAAGTCCAGCGCGCGTTTTAATTTTACTCACCTTGACGACCTCGTAGAGATAATAAGCGCAAAAGCCAATGCCCAGCAGCGCGCCGTAATACAATTTAGGGACGTTCTCGAGGAGATACAGCATTTTTTTTGTTGCACGCCAGACAATGATGTTACCGATATGATTGCGCGCGGCCGAGTCTACACTACCTATGACGAATCAGACTCAACGCGTCGTTGGACCTTGCTCGCTGGTAACGTGCGCTTAATAAGCGGTAGTCGCGAACTAAAGCCGAGAAAGAAAGGAAACCTCGTTGACACGCGCATGGCATACAAGTGATTAATTTAACCGATCGACTGATAATTAGCAAAATATACGATCACAGTACATATCGCATCAATTTTATATCAAGAGCTGAACATATATAAAAATATATAGCGGCAATTTAATGTCAAAGATCTGTTAGATCTGTAGAGAAACGCTATTTCTAAGTAAACTTGTTGTGTGTAGAATTTTGATAACATATCTTCGCAAACACGCGGTGTTTTTTCTTTGTTTTTTTTTTTATTTCTTGTGCTTTACGGAAAAAGGAACGCATTTCGCGATATTTCGAGAATTATCGTTAAATCTTTCCACATCTCCCAGCACTGATACACTACTTCGATTAATTTAACTCTAGCGCACATGCGCACTCGACTCGAAGCAATAAATGCATACGTGTCGTCGATTTCGTTTCTGCGACAAAAATATATATTTTTTATTTCAAAACTTTTTATATAATTTAGAAAATATGTAAGATTTATATAAAGAAATATAAAATAAATCGAATATCGCGCATATATTGGAATAAAACAGCGCTTGGGAGGGATATCATTAACGCTTTAATCAGCACACATAGACGCGGCCACATATACACAATTCATATGTACATAAAGTGATCTCTTCCTGCTTGAGATTTTTTTCGAATATTTATTTCCCGGCATTTTCCTTCATGTGTTATACACATTTTTATTTTATGTACAATTGTACATAAAATGTTTTATCGAACCGTTTCTTTGCTTCGCAATAAACAGTGATATTTAAAAACTTTTTATAGGTAATAAAAAAAATTTAAATTTACGTCGCACACCTGAGCTAGCGCGATATCGCAGTTACAACGTTTTGCATCGGATCGACGCATCGATGCAATTTAGGTTTTATATGTCAGAGGGGTCATCTTAATTGATCTATTGAGTGTGCAGTTGGTTCATAGCAACAGGAGTGAGAAAGAGTAACCACATATCGAAAGAGAAGAAGATGACAACTTTATTCGAACAGTCTTTTACACATTTTCTATGGTTATAATTAAATGAACTATTACGTAATTGCTGTGCTAGCATTCAAGATTGACAATAATTTCAATTGTTATCCAATACACAAAAGTTTGATTATGAAAATCAAAAAAAAGAAATGCGTATTTATTTGCATCTTTCTTTTCTTTCCTCGTGACTAGTTTTAAATATTTGAAATAGAATTTATTTTTAACAAAGAAAAAATTGCTTAAACGATGTAAAAAGTAATTCTTAATTTCAATCAGAAGTGATCGTTACATGTCCTTTATAAATGCTGGATACTCTTTACGACAAGGTCAACCTTATATTTGATACTGGTTTGTTTATGTGCCATTTTTTTTCATGCATTACGTATTGTCGTACACACTACTACTCATTGTCAATCCGGCATAAGCTTAAAATAACTTGGGTTGGTCTCACAGGATGCGTGAAGTAATCTAACAGCGAATTAAAGACGAAATCAAATTAAACTATAAATAAACTGCACATGTGCTTTCGACGATAATGAGACATTTTCCGTAGCTATTGTAAAGTTTAAATAGGGGGAGATCATTTAGTGTTCATGGCCACGCACAAACACACTTGCGCGCTATTAGATGCGATGCGCAATTTTACTCATACGTGTATATGTGTGTGTATGTGTGCCAGCATGCAACTACACGGAATTGTGATCGTAAAATCCAACTACAGTTCAAATTTGATTCTTCTAGAAAATTTTTTTTATGTATTATATTAAATTTTGTTATTACGTTATTTGCTGAATATAAAACGGCAAAAATTACATGTAACCAATGAAAAATATCGCGTTTCAGTAACAAAAATGGATTAACATTTAATTAAATTGTTTAATTCAAACTCCGTTTTATGCCGTAAACATTACGTACTACATCATATATTAGTTATATTATTACATATTATATTATAAAAATAACCCTTTCTTTTTATACAAATTAGAATATTGCGTTAATTAATTACATTCATTCATTTTATCACAACAATTGCAGATACTTTAATAATTATGGTGTTTGATACAGTATCTTATAGAAAAATAATACGCAATTTGTAAATTATTTAAAATGTGGAACAAAATAATAAAAACTTCCAAACAACAAGTGTCTATAACAAATTGTAATTGTAAAATATTTGCACGAGTCTATATTACGTGATTAATATATAAAAGTAAAAGATACTAACTTTATTTATTCAATACTAAACAAAATTCTATTTCAATCATAGGAATATGTACGGCGATGAGAGAGATGAAGATTTGATCTCAAGTATTTCTGATTTCCTTTCAAGTTACATTTATAGTAAGATTTTATAATAGAAAATATATTTTATAATAGAAGATTCATATAACATTAGTTTATAAGAGAATGTTATTTTATTACATTAGATACTTTTAGAAACATTTGATCGGCAAAAAATTATTATTTTATATATAATATGTAATACTATGTACAAAATAGAACGTATATACATATAAAAAACCGAGTATTTCCGAGTTTAATAACATCTTAAAATGTGTGGACATATATACTTCAGAATAGTTTTTTTTTTTTTTTTTTTTTTTCGATTATAACTTACTTCTTAATCCTAAGACTACAAAAATAATGCCACGGAAATATATGTATGAATTTTATAATGTTATACATGTTTACACTTTATGGCTTGCACGATATGACGACGCATATTATTTCAGTAATGTAGAACTCAATTAAAGTTCTTGTTTACGTATTTTATGATAGAGATTCAGCATCGGGTGTTTACGGTTGCTCCCCGCGTATCACAAACGCCTGTTACAACTGGATTCTCGAACATATTTAGCCCAAGTGCGAGAAGCGAGATAGTATTTGCGATTTGCCTCGTTTCCATCGTTTTTCAAACTCTCTATCATGGTCCGATAAGTTTCCTCGTCGTACGCGCATGAGAGAGTCTTCCTTCGTTTTTCGGAACCAGTTTCGAAATTGGCCGATTGACTGCCAACGAGCACGTGAAGATCGCCTTTCTCCTGCACTGCCCAATTCCAAGTCTCCACAATCGAGCAATTGCACATAAACGGATTACCTAACAAATTGATCGATTGTAAATGCGGATTCATCTTGAATATTCTCGGATGAATTGTGCGCAATTGATTATAACTCAGATCCAAGTGTTCCAATCCGTGCAGTTTTTTCAGAAAATTCAGATTTTCCATGCCGGAAATCGAATTTCCCGAAAGATTCAATTGAGTAAGATTGCCCGTCGTGGAAAATATGTTCTCGTTCAAATGTAAGATGTTGCAGTTGCTGAGATCTAGGACTTCCAGATTGGACAGTTGTGCCGGCAGCAACGAGCCTTCGTCGGGTATCACCAGCGGATTGCCACTAAGTTTGAGTTCCATTATGTTTGTCGATTGACGATCGCCGAATACCTTTGGATCGATGGGTGTTGTGAGGTCACAGTTGTTGAGTTCGAGGCTCTGCAAACTCGTCAGATTCGCGAACAGTCCTTCTTCCAAAGTATAAATTTCGTTACCCGAAAGAATCAATTTCTTTAGAAAAGTCATCTGTGCGAAAGTTTGACTTCCCACGTGACCGAGATTGCAATAAGACATGTCCAAATATTCCAGAGATTTTAAAGGATTCAAAAGTCTGATAAACGCGTCGTTCAGAGGATTGTGTGAAATATCGAGTTCTTCGAGATGTTCCAGCAAATGAAAGGCATTCGGCAATCTTCGAAGATTACAATTGCTGAGAGACAGCTTGTGAAGTTTTGGCAAATGGCGGAGAACAGCGGTCAGATCGCTGGCGAACATCGGATTCCCGCTTAGATTCAGTACACGCAGTACACTTGCATTTCTGAAAGCTTCCTCGGACAAGCGATCCTGTAAATTGCAATTTGACAAGTCCAGAGACTGAAGGCTGTGCAAGTTGTGACCGAGCGTTTCTTCGATATCCAGATGTCCCAGTTCATTGTCCGCGAGACTCAATTCTCGAAGATACAAGTTCTCTGCGAAAGCGTCACCCGGTAAACTCGTGATACCGGTATGACGAATATTTAGATGTTCTAAGCGCACCAACGGCCTAAGAACGTTTCTCCAATTTAATATCTTCAGCTCGTTGTATGCCAGCTCTAATTCCCGCAAATTCTCCAAGTGGGAGAAAGCTTCAGAGGATATGTAAGTTAAATTGCATCCGTTAAGTTTGAGGTGTTCCAAACTAGTCATATGAAAGAAGGGACCCGGTTCTATTCGTTGCAACGGATTATGCGACAGATCAAGCGTGTTCAAGTTTAGCGTGTTATCGAAGAAATGCGAGTTGAGATGACGGATACCGCATGAATTCAGATCAAGATACAACAGTGTGCGACAATGCAAAAACGGTCCCTCAACCTCGTCCAGAGGATTGTGTTGGAGCTCCAGCGTAATTAAACCCGGACTGTCCCTGTCGAATTGAAAGAATCATTGGCAAAATCACTATCGTCTGTTTAAAAAAAATAAATAATCGAGCTAAGTATTGACTTACCGAAATGCTTCAGGATCCACTCGTGTAATGGCGTTGTACGAAAAATCAGCATCCAAGAGGTACGTTAATCCGGCGAAAGATTCATACTTCAGCTCGGTTAATAGGTTGTGTGCCATTTGGAGACGTCTCATGTGAATCGCGCTTGGAAACGGACCGACATGTGCGATATTATTATCATTTACATCTAAAATGTAAACATTGAGACTGAGCTCGTCGTAAGGAATGGTCGTCAAGTTGCTGTCCGAGCAGTCCGTCACCCAGTTGATGCGAAAGTAGTAACAATGGCAATCTTCAGGACACTCTTGTTCTTGCAGCTCTTCGGGTTCGTTCACGGCGAACGCTGTGGCCAAGTATATCACGAGCAGACATAACGCTGTTGCTTTTGCCATTGTGATCTGCAACAATACAGCGGTAAATGATGAAGTCTTTCAGACAGATCTTATCAGATTTATCCGCATGTATTCGTGCATTGTATCGTAATTATTGAAACAATTGTTCATTTACACACACAATATGTCTTTATCTGCCATTTAAAAAGCAATTCTTTCATTTGTTAAAAGATTTAAATGAGTGATGAATTTTTTTTTTTTTTTTACTTACTGAGAAAATCGATAAAATTGAAGTGCGTGTTAAAAAATATAAAATGTCAAAAAACAACAAATTAATATAAATGCAGATTCACCACGTTTGAAAATGATAATTATCTCCGTTCGTTGAGATATACTGCAAATGATAAGCGAGAGAATATTATCTGAAAAATATCTCCTAGTTCCCCAACGAGTTATAGACCAGATTAGCGCAAATGAGTCAGCCTTCCGAGCGAGTCCGCGCCGGCTTAAATTGCGAGAGTAGATCCTTCTATTCATCGCAATGACGAATCACGTTTCTAACTTTTTCTGTCGGCGGAACGCATTACAAAGAAACGCGTCGACGCCTTTGGCTGGTAGACAACTTCGCCGTCCAAGTCGGAACGGGGTTTTCCACTAGAATAGTACACGTTGCACGCTCGGCTGCACCGGAGAATTACCCCCTTGTCACGAAGAGAGTTCGCATTCGGCCGCGACCACCATTATACCATCGATGTACATTTTACCCCCTTCAAAACCGCCAACCTACCTCTCCCGCCCGCGCAATATTTCTCGGCATCGCTCTTGCTTGCCTTTGGCATCGTGATTCTTTAGTTTTCGGTTGCTATTTTCTCTCCCTCCGAGCTTTCTCTCAGCAAGAAAACGTCGCGCGCGCGATGGCTATATAAAAGTCATTTACATTCAGACTGCGGAAGTAGGCACTAGGTGATGCTTCTTTTTTTCTTTTTTTGCTAACGAGAGTGTCGCTTTCCTTTGTGTGACTACGTTTTGAACGGAGGGAGGAGGGCGAGGGAACTTCAAGCGCGCCGACGACTTCTCCGGGGATTCTTCGGAATGGAATTTTACGCGATGACAAACGCGCCTGTTAGATCAATAAGTTACAACACGTTGGAATATTTTTTTCGTTCTATTGCCGCTATGTTTTTTTCCTATCTCTGATCGTGGTAGCACATATATGTGTGTGTGTGTATATATATATATAGTAACCTTCTATATGTTTGGTTCCACGAGGAAGAGAAAGAGGCTTTTCTCTCATCTCTTCCAGCCTCTAGCGACTTATAGCAGCCGGTTGATCAATGCCAAAGAAAGCAATACAAAGCGTCGCAACAAATATACGCCGTGTCTGAAAATTGACTTGCCTTTTCCGTCATCACCGCGTCTTGTTTATCTCTCGAAATCGAATTTACGAGATCAAATTTACTGAAGAAAGAGAAAGGAGAGGGAGTTGCTATAAAATATGAACTAAAATGTTAACTAAACAGTTTTTTTTTTTTTTTTTTTTATTCAGCAAACACAAGCTTGAAGAGTTTTGAAATATCTTTCCATAACATCCTGTTCGCGTATAAGTATTGTCTTTTTCTTCGACAAAAGTGATAAAACGATACGAGAGTACAATAGGTTGCGACGTTTGCCACTTCTAGAAGTTTCTGTATAAATAATGCAAAGCTGATTATTTCAACTGAAACACGTTTCACAACTAGATGCAGAACACAATGTGTATTCATTTTACTTATCATACAGCACGTAAACCGATTTTAGAGATATGACGTAGGTATCTGTGTATGTAGTCTCTGTTTCCCTCTACATTCACAAAAATGAATGTATTTTGATACGTGACAATGTTATTAGGGCAAGAGATAGAGCGCGTATATAAAAAATATAATTCAAACATAAATCAAATAATAATTTTGTTACTAGTTAACACATTTACGTTGAGATCTAACAAATCTAAAAATTGACTTTGATTAAAAATACATTGAATTTGCGTTTCATTATTGACACACACGCGCGCGCGCGTACACACACAGACTTCAGTTATGAAAGTTTAGTGAATTTAATTGGAGCCTTGTTAAATTGTTGCATAGCACTTGTATTAGAAAAAATTTTTGAAAAATTTTTCAATACTATTGGAAAATTTTGAATTGCAGTTCTTGTATCGCTTTTCTATTATATTTATATATTTTCAATAAATCTACGTACACTGCACTATTATATCTACCTTGATAGGTTAGAGATTTAAAAAAAAAGAACCGTATATAATAATTTTTATGAATATAAAATTTTTCACATAAGTAATTGCTTATTGAAAAAATATTTTACGTCTTTTGTATACATCTTATATATAAATACTAGCAATTGTTCGAACAATGTACATGTAATCGAAATTAAAAGTCACGACTGAGAAGTTAAAAGATTAATAAGAAACGTAGGCGATATTCTAACAAATTGGATTCTAGTGAAGAATCAAAGAAAAGAATTGACGCAAAGAAGAACGTTCGCAAAATATGTATATATTTTAAACAATAAATTATATACAACGATAGGTCGTCAGTTATTGTACAGTCACATATGTGCGCAAAGTAAATATTTGTTAAGTATTTACTGTGTAAAAAGTAGAAAAATGTGACATTGGATAACATGCACGCCCACGTTGAACTTGTTCATTCATTGCTCGCGCACTTTATTATTGTACTCTACAGGATGGCTATTTCATTAGAGAAGAGCACCGAGGTCTCCGGTCTTCGCTGCTCTCTCGACGAGCGGTAGTGTATAATGACAAGAACGACAAGTGGATCATTCAATGAGCCATAATTTGTTCCTAACATTGCGTATAGCGAGTCGATACGCAAGAAACAACTCCTGGGGAGCAAGTTATATTTACAAAAAATTTTTCCGAACATAAAACAGTCTAGGAACATTAAAAGAATCTAAGAGATATTGAAAAACGCGTATATTTGTACAAATGGAGAAGTTCTTTCGTGTTGTTCCTTACGTTTCTGTATTTCCGCTTATGTCACGACAATACTGTTGTCGTGAAAACATTTACAAAATATCTACCAACATTTACTAAATATATACCAGTTTATATATATATATATATATATACTGATTGCGCTAAAATCGTTCAATTCTCTATCCCACGATAGCGGAAAATCCCAAACGGACACTTCGCAGTGGTTTCGTAATTCAAATTTTATTTACAATTTTTCTAAAAAATATGATCTTTCACTCGTATATTTTTCAGCGGACAAACACAGAAGTAAATATATTAAAAGAAAAAACCACACTCTTCTCTTTTGACGTTTTTTTTGGGAGGGACTACCTTATTCACCTTTGTCGAAAAGAGCGAGCAAATAATTTGCTGATAAATCAAACCAAATAAATGAAATGCTGATCGAAGCATGCGTGTTTTACATACCGAAACGAAGCAAGGTGTTGTAAGCTTGGGAAGTCGACGAATGCCAATGATGCGAGTGATCGCAGACGACGACGTCGTGACGACAAACTCGCGCACGTCGCGGCGGATGATGACAGAATGAGCGGGCCCGATTGTCGAGAGAGTCGCGGTTAAATTAAATCATATCCGAGTGAACTCAGGGTTAAAATCTATCGAGGCGCGCGCTCTTCATTCCGTCCGTGTGGTGGTATATATACGCGTGTTGTACAACTCGGGTTTTTTCAAACAACTCCGATTGTTTTGCGCTGTATTTATTTTAACCTGCGTGTTTTGTTTCTTTGTTTGCAAAACGTTGACACAGGTGTAACAGCAATTAATTCCGTAGTGCGCGTAACACAAACTATACACGCTGAACTAACGCGCGTAGAGACGCATTTATCGATAAAAAAAAAAAAAATTAATGATAATCTTGATTCTTGATCACTGTTATATCATAAGCATACAACTGGACTCGGGCAAACGCGTTCGAATGCGTTAGATTGGGTTCGATAAAAGTTTTTAGTTCTAGTAAAAAAATGTCTAGGAAAAAAAAGAATATTATTTATTTGCATAATCAAAATTTGAACTAAATTTTATTTCTTTCTTACCATTTAATATATTTTTTTTATGGAACTTCTATGTACCTAAAAGGATATTAAATCTCGTAAAAGATTTTAACTAAAAACTATATTTGTGTACGTTACAGGATATATTGGAAATTTTATACACTTCAAACACAGAATTTGAATAAAAACAATTGTAATCAATCTTATATTGCGCAACTGCACGCGATATAATACAGAAAATTATATCTACGTACCGGTATTACATCCGTTTTTATTTCTGTCGTTTTGTCTCTTCGCGCGATTTCAGCCTCACATCGATTTTCGACAAATCCTCAGAAGACTTTAAAACGCAAAACCCAAGTATATAGCATCATCTCCAAGATCAAGACATTTAAAAAACAGTTTATAAACCGAACTATCATACTTGTTCATTTAAATAAAAAGAACAAATATCTAAAGATTAGACACACACAGAGCGAACGACTAACGAATGGCTAACGAACGTTCGCTGTTTATTTTTTGCGCGTGTATTTTTTTTTTTTTTTTTTTTTTTTTTTTTTTTATGTACTATCTCACGCTAGCGAATCGAATCAAAACGCAAATTGACGTACAAATTCATTTGTATTCACTTTTGACGTACATATGTACGCGTGCGCACCATCTCGAATATTATAACAATTAAAAACGTTCGAAATTTGTGCGTTATTCGTTCGCTCAGTGTATACACACACACAATCCACCTTGACCGTGATATCACAATGGCATAGGGCACCTCCTTACCATCGGACGGACCTGTCGCGCGGATTAACCGCGACCTCTCACGCGATTCGCACTCCTCCTAACCTCCCAATTTCTCGACCGGACAAATCCGTCTACGGTCGTGCAAGAGAATTAATACATGTCTTACCGTGTCTTATGAGAATGCGGCGTTTCTTCGCGAGCAGAGCCTTCACATCCGATCGCAATTCGTTATCAATTGTTCCGCATGCGTGCGTCGGTGTTCAAATAATGCCAGATAACGTGAGATAACTCACCCTCGTACTTATGTACTAACGAGCACGCTGAACACGCACAATTCGACACACAACTCGCAGCAGACGTACACCGGATGACATGTCAGATGTGCGCTTGCGCGGCGACATTAACCCTTTTAAAACGCCTTGTTCCTCGCAATCAGAGATGTGCGCACACATGTACGTAAAATTTATATGTGGATGGATGCGTGACAACTCGCTCGCACATAGATTTTGCAGATTTTGATGGAAAATCACGTCACACGCGGGACACTAATAAATTTTTCAGTCCAGACGATTTTCGCGTAAATTTGCTTATATTTTGTGAAAAATTTATAGTTCGTTCGCGATTCACATACATTTATTGCGGACCACGACGGTGTGTCAAAAGAAATATAATTGCAAAATATTTATTTATACAAACGTTTGTAGTAAGTTTTATATGTATATTTATATTTTAATAAATTATTAAATTCTGCTCATCGGCGGCTAAAGGCTAATAGGAACGTGTTTCTGCACGGAACGCACGTATGTTAAATTAATTCACTGTATTTGCGTCCAGCAAACATAAACAATAATAAAATAATTATTAATAACAGTTGTACATAAATATCGAAGAATTTTGCAATATTATGCAATATTCGATGTGTATTGAAGAAAAAAAGTTATGGATACAGAGCCGACGTGATTTTTGCGGTTCAGATTGTGGAGCACTTGGCTTTCGCGACACATTCACGCCTACTTTCTCAATCTTCTCGTTTTCTCAGTTTCCGAGACGTTGAGTATTAGTATGCGGTTTGTATAAATTGGAAGAAAAACAAATTAAGGAAACAAGAAGAATGGAGAAAGAAGAATATATAGAACGCGAACGCAAAATTGCGCCGGCTCTGATGTAAATATTTGAGACCGGTCTTTTGATTTTCAGGTATATGTTGTCTATAGAACGGTCAAAAACAAATAGAGGTTTGATACGTGTGTATTCTGGACCCTTATATTCTCGTGGAATTATGTGAGAATGACTTTGGCAAACCTCCAATGTGCCAGAGTGTACGGAGACAACATGTACGGAGCAACGAACTTTAGACGGAGTAACTTTGGGTAAGAGATTCTTTTGTTTTAATAGAAAACGTTTTTAGACCCCTGAATCACGACAGTTTTGTCAGCGCAAAAATACAAAATTTTATATACATATATTTTTTCCTACAAGACATAATTTTTATCCAAGAGAAATTAGATAGACAGTTTTGAATTACTATTGGGAAAGTGTTGGGAACATTCAAAGTTTGTAAAATAGAAAATGCAATTTTTTATGTTTAATGCAAACGTACGTGTGTAAATACATAATATTTTTTATAAGAGGAAGCTAAAAACTATACATCATATACCAATATATATCACAAAATTGTTGTTATATTTAAATATTACGTTATATGACAAGAGCGATACGAAGAAAAGTGATGAAAAATAAATAGAAGAGAGAAATATACTTTCATTGTTTAATGGATATATTTTTTATATAGGTTTTCACTATTGTATCACATCGGATAATACATATAATCTGATTTTCTTCTGTTATTTTACTCTATTATGTATTTTGACGCGAGATTCAGCAGTAGATGTGTGTACAGATAACATTGATATTACCATATTGTAATTAATGAGATCATTATCACGGAGTTTACTGACTAGCAGATTAAAAGCTGCGTGATAATATTTACCGGCGTGTAATACTACGAGCAAGCAACAAGACGTCGCGTCGCGAGGAAAAACGGCTTTTAGCGTCAGATGAAATAATTACAAATTAGAATTGTGTGCGCGCGCGCTCAAAACAACTTTCTAAACCGCGAGTTTATGCGGTGTAATGTTTAATAATTACTCCAAAACGATCGCGCGCGTATAAGCCGCAACCGCAATGTTTGCACTTATACGTACGCTTAATTAATTAAACAACATAATTACAGGACACGAGCGGGCAGCTAACAACCGAGGATTTTTAATTAATTTACAACGAAGCGCGATTACGTGCTTTTCGCTAACGCTCACTTACGTGAGCGCCGCGTGGACGTTGTGTCGCCTCCCCACGGCATTTATACCGGAATATTATACCGCTTGTATATAGCTGCAAACGGTTCCGGTTGAATATACTCGTCGCAAGAGGGAGATACGACATAATTATGATTCACGTTATGATAAGGCCGATATTGCTAATGCGCCGTCTCTCCCGACTCATCCCTGTTCAACGCGTTCTTCCTCTTATTCTCTCTCTTTCTACAAATTTTTTATGCACTAGCCGTTAAATAGGCCAATATGTTCCGCGAAAGAATCTCTCGAACGGGCCCAGATTTAGATCCGTTCAGATATAGAACGCGATTTCGGGCGAATGTGAATAAGAATCACGACTCACACGTGACTCGAGGACTTTCCCCACGAAGAGAGAAGTTAGGGCGCTGCCGGGTGGAGCAGGCAGGTTAGGGTTGGCGCCGAGAACAGCTATGGTGGAGGTTTGGGGTTAAAGTGATGGTGGCAGAGCGGCAGCGGCAGCAGCAGCAGCAGCAGCAGCAACGATGATATGGTGGTGCGGTGGTGGTGGTGGTGGTGGTGGTGGCGGAGGTGGTGGAAAAGGTAACGATAGTAGTGGTGGTGAGTGACCAACTGCGCAGACCCCAAAGTCTCTCAGCCGCGAGTACGTAGTCACACTCCAGCTCAGTAAGGACTGTGGTCCTCGTTTGCAGTGCAGTTCGAAATCTCTGGGAGCGACCGCGTTCTTTCGTCTCTTCTCTTTCTCTCTCTTTCTCTTTCTCTTCCCCTTTTTCTCTTTCTTTCTCTAAGCTCTCCCACTCTCCGATCTGTCTCTCTTTCTTTTTTTCTCTCTCTCTCTTTCTTTACCTATCATCTGTCTTCTTTGCTCCTCACACGCGTTTCCCTTACTCGCAAAGATATCTCTTTAACTTTTTCACCCGAAGTCTGTCCGTCACCGCACACTTCACACGCGACTGTCAACGCGCGGCGAACGGATCGGAGCTCAGGAGCGCTGACCATCCCCTCAGAGGATTGATGGATGTAACACAATATCGGACACGTCCCGATACATCGGGATATCGTCTTCGTGGCGTGTCACGTGGATCGACGGCTAATCGGTGATTCGGCGGAGTCTCAATAGTTAGTTCAATTCGGACACGGCGCGTTATGGGACGTGCGTGTTCCGTGTGCTCGATTGTCTGAACTAAACAAGCCCGTGCGAATGTATCTATATACATATATACGGATCCCGGTATAATCGCGGAGTGACTGGCGGAAGAGTGTGTGAAAAAATTCACCGTGGATCGGGTCGATGAGCACAGATCCAAAGAAACGTACTGACACTTTGCGCCGCTTGGTGTAAGTATAACCTCCTCCCTCCCTTTCAACCCGACCACCCAACCCGTGTGCACAACCACCACCCTTGTCTCGCTCACCCTGAACGCACTCCTAAATACGATACGATATTATTACATCGAGCATGAGTCACACACGCGATAAGTCTGTGCGATAAGTCAGCTGGAAACGTTGTGTGTGCCTTCGTTGACCTGCCACTCTTAGTTCACGGGAGATTTCTCAGGTCAGCTGGTTACCGGTTATGCTTCGACACACGGTGTGTATCGCATCCGATAGACTGTTTAAATATGTATTCTCTTTGACGTGCCTTGCCCTTAAAATAGGGCTCTATCGACTCGCGTCAAATTGCACTTACATATTTTTACGGATTTTCCTTGTATTTCACATTACGCGGACGGGTTTGCTCGAAATTATCAAGTTAACAAAACGTTCAACGAAGTATATCGTTTTATCAAATCGCGACGACAAGAATTGCACCTGAAAAGTGACGCTCGAGCTATTGTTTGTTTATTCTTGAAATATATTGTTCGGTTTTTCTTTCAAAAGAAATAATTTAGGAGTGTTTTTATTAAATACATTCTTCCCTAACATTCTTACCTAACTGCTCTATTCTAGCGGTCTCTCAGAACAAGAAATTTGAAATAAAGATATTGAGTTGTGTGTAATATCAGTTTATAAAAATTATCGTTAGCCATATATTATTATATTTTTGTTTATTCCGATATTGTAATATAATATATATATTTAAAGATACCATGTATATATTTTTATCTCTTTTTTTTATATCTACTACATTTGCTATACTTTTTTTTAAATCTACTTTTAAATCCTCTTTATTATTTTATAAATTTTAATGTCAAAATTACACGACATTGTATGTATTTTTTTTATTATTAAAAAACGACGTGTACACATTTAAATATTATAAGTATTCGACTCGTTGTTGAGAAAGAAAGAGAGAGAGAGAGAGAGAAAAAAGGGCGTTAAAAAAGGAACTTACACGAATTAAAATACAAAGCGAAATCTCATTCACAAAAGAGTTAATAACGAACATAATTAAGAGATTCTCGTGATTTCGAGAGATGTTAAACAAATTAAGTTATCCGCGCGTCTCTTCCTAGATAGTAAACACATTACGGTGCGTTTTTTTTTGCTCGTGGCTTTCATAATTAATTTTCCGATACCGTAGATATTCCCTAACTCTAATAAGTTGGAACCGTCGTCGTCGTCGATTGAGCTACAATAATGAAATGCACCCCTTCTCATTTCCGGTTGCTGTTATTTTTCTAAGTGCTCCGACATTCCGTCGAATTGGCTTGTATTTTAAAACGTCTCGGAAAACATTCCTAAAACTTTTAATAACGTTGGCTTTTTATATCACGGAACAGACATTAAGTACGCGTTTAGCACGTACGTTTCCCAGCGGCATTAAATTTTGACGCAGTTTTCTTCGGGGAGTTACTTTTCCTTTTCGAGAGATTGCTTAATGAGTCGGAGTTCGCAAACGATGAAATATGACGGTTTAGGGGCTGGTAGCGAATTCCGGAATAACGGATCGAAAAATTGGCTCGTGTGTTTAGCGCTTATATTCGTAAGTTATTAATCTTGCGTTTATTGCCGCTTCTATTTAATATTTAAAAAAACAATGCATATTTTAACTCGAAAAATAACATTAACAAATATTAAAGTTGTAAAATATAATAAGATAAAAATAACACCGTCATTAAAAAACTTCTCACAATATTCTCGTTTTAAATATCAGAAAACAAACACTTCGATGACATTTTAATCATCTGTCGGCAATACAATTATATCTAATTACTACGTTATTATATTAGCAACACATACTGTGTGTGCGTGCGTACATAATGTATAGGAAACAGTAATCTATCAAAAAATCAATTTAAAGGTTTTCCGATCGTCATCTCTCGGGAGAAGGGGGGAGAGGATACGAAACTTTTTCGCGGTTATAACAGTCGTCGTACTGTGATTAATCGATCCGTCCGTACTATTAAGAGCGGGATGCGGATAATTAATCGTCGGTTTTACCACCACACCTGCTTGCCTAACGTGGGAACATCCGAACCATGTTAGACGCAAACAACCTTAACAAAAAGGACGCTGTCGATCTCTCCAAATCCCCGTGTGTGCGCGCGCGACTATACGGCGCGGCAAAGTCATTAAGAACGCTGTAAATCTTGCTTAGAGACTCCCGCTGCGCGGGAACTCGTGTCAAATCCAAAATCCGTAAATTTAAAAAAAAAAATATATATATATATAGGCAAAAGACAGGCAGAATCTTCGCAAATGCGTTTCCTCTTCGCGGATAGCCCGCTCGTTTCGAGCTTTTACGGCGCACAATAACCGCGCGAGAAACGGTAGTCACTTTCTCCAATAATAAAGCGGTCCATAAAGCTTACGGCGCGTGAATGATGTAGAAATCACAGATAGTATTTGCATTACCTCGTCGTAGAAAAGCGTTGTAACTTACGGCTTGTTCGCGTCGAGTTTGTTCGCGCGACACATTCGTCAATCCCTCGGTGCGCGAATGCTTCTACGAGAGAGAGAAAGAGAGAGACAGGGAAAGAGGAAGAAAAGGAGGAGAGTTACTGGTAATAAACGAAGCCGTAAAAAGCTCTGCACGAGAAACTACGTGCATGCATACGCATATTCATATACACACATACACACACACACACACAAAACTGACATCACTGTCAGACGTTGCGCGAGCGATATACAGTTTGGTTTTACTAAAACGTGACATATCCCCCCCGCATTTCTGAATCGTTTATGCGAGAGCCGCCATTTCGCGGGTATAAATAGAGGGAGGGGGATGAACACCAAGATGCACTGTACTTAAAAAACTCAACCCAGTGGTGTCTTCGTCCGCGTACAAGGACTACATAAATCAAAATAAGCGTCGCATCTCTCTTCGTAACCGTTCTTTTTCTTGTATCCCTGTTCAAAAAGGGACAAAAGTTGCACGAAGACAAGCACGTATGTTATTACAGTTAATTGTTAGTCTCGGTACGCCGAAAACAAGCGCTAGCAAGATTTACAACTCGACATGATGTCCGAGCTGTTAGAAAATAAAACCGGAGGACTCCGTATTCATACGAGCGCATTCTTGCGTGAACAAATCACGCGCTCTTGCAATAAATAATTTTACGCTCCCTCGCTTCAACGCGTACGTGTAAAATTGACTACCACGTTTTTTTTTCTTTCTATGTATTGTAAGAAATTACTGTACATTAGAAATTTGTAACAAGCCGCGCGAGGAGCAGATCGGACGGAGATTCATAGCAAGTAGCTTTAACATGAGTCTTGGAAACTCCGGCGCGCGCGGTTCCTCCCATCGGTCACCCTCCAGTCACCTTCTAGCGGTCGTGATAAATCAGAACACACCTGGCGCCCCGCGCTCCACACACATCCAGATCTCTAAAACGCATTTACCCGTGCTTATACTCGTTGAATTACTTTACTTCTGGGGTTTGGGAAGAGGAGAGGAAAGGGAACGTGTTCCACGAAGCGGTCGAATTAAGCGCGCGCGCGCGAAGGACGATGGAAAAGGCGGAGAGCCTATAAATATGCGGCGAAGAGGTCGTAGGAAATGTCGCTGGCAGAAAAGGAGAAAAGACGAAGGTTGGAAAGACAGTGTCCCCGCGCGTAAAATGCGTGCCCGCACCAATCCTATTTTCAGAGATACCCATCTCCCGGCTACAACGCGCGGTGAAAAGGAAGGGAAAGACAGAGGCTAACTCGCTTCATCCCCCTACCTACACATCGAATTGTTCCTTCGTGGCGACTGCAGCTGTTCGATTTCCGTATAAAGGTCCATCCCATTCTCAACACGTTATCCCTTGTTGCGTGCTACCGTCTTTGTTTTTTTCTTTTCTTCTTTTTTCGATCTAAACAAGAAATATATCGGTAATGTAAAGTACTCGCCTCGGGACATACGTCTGGTCGACGGCCAGAATTGCGCGAGGAAAGATTGACCCGATATCAGAAGAGCTACGTTACTCTTGTTAAAGTGACTGTGATGTTTTATCGTCGTGTTACTTCTTGCACGCGCTACTTGAACATACTCGCGCGCGCGCGCGTCTATGTGTATGTATGTATAATATATATATATATGTCTGTATGTGTTCCGATAACAAGAACCGATATTTTAATGCACGCGTCCCAGCAGCACAAAAGCGCCGCGAGAATCTTGCGAGAAGAGCTCGGAAACTAGGTCTGATGAACTCGGATTCAATCTTAACTCCGGTTATATCCGGATATATACTCGCGCGTTTCCACGGAGTAATTAGTATTCGTTATCGATATTGCGATGTACGCGAAATACACTTGAGAAGTTTTTGCTCGGGTAACAAATTGGTACAGATTTTATATTTACATTCTTGTACGTGCTGAAGTATAAGTAGCTATGTGTAATATGTGTGTGTAATATGTGTACGTATATGTATGATGAAACTGCATTTAGCCGAACTCCATTTATCCGAGAACGAAAGTTTACTCAATGCCTGATTAACTGAACTTACTGCGGAGGTCTTATTATCGGAACTGGTGCGCCGAGCGCGGCACTTCGGTTACACGAACGGTTGAAAGGCCCGAATTCAAATAATAGATCAAGGCGGCTATTATGTAACTATTCGCTAAATCGTCGTTTGTCATTCGAAAAGTTTTCGTTCGGATCGTTTTTCTTCTTTTTTTGGTTTTTTTTTGTTTTTGGGAGAAGAGTTGGAGATGACGAATAGGTAATATACAGCGTATAAAGGTTCCGTTTTTTTTTTTTTTTTTTTTTTTTTTTAACTCTGCTGAATAATATGAGCGTTTCAATTTCCGAGAATGCGATACACGTGTAATATTTTCTCATGCGCGTGTTCGCACACAAGTTTGAAAACTCGTCCGATTGCCTGCGAAGAAATACTAAATTATCATTAAGGAAACCACGGACGAGACGTGCCACTTTTACAGAAGAACATGACAGATTTCCCGCC